ATTTGTAAAATTTGGATTCTAGAATTTCGTCATGAGACCCATTCTGGTCAGTCAAGCAAGCAACCAAAGCTGACAAGCAGAGGTGACACTGAGAAAGGTTTGTCTTCTTAAAGTAAAACATAATATTTTTTTATGTATTTTAATTTTTAAGGGTATCTTCAAATAATGTATCCCTTAAAATAAGCATGTCTTGTACAAGATGACAGTAAACTTCAATCTAAGCTAAAAGCATATTATAAAAATACAAACGATTTAGAATGTTTCAGCAAATAATTTCGTTATTTATAAGAAAAATTCAACAAACAGCTAGGAGTAATAAAATTTTATAAGCCACATTTGACTTTCATATCTTGGTTTGGATTATAAAAATTAAATTTTTAATAAAAATAAATTTTCTTTTTCTCGACATAACTTCTTGAAATATCTTTCGACTACATAATATATTTTGATTAATATATTCTGCAAAAGATCGGTACCTACTTAATAGTATACTTTCCTTTTTTGATAACGATATAATACTTGCTTTTTGTGTAAAATATTGCTTAACTTATGTGTGATTATACATATTATTATGTAATGTGTCCCATTTCGAACAGCCTAAGACTTGTCACATCTTTGTTTTCGATTTTGACAATATTTTCTTTAAAACGTCACCAACAAACGTTCTACATTAATATAATATCCGAATTTTAACTCCTACGAAATTATAGCTTGTTATCTGCTGTTATCGCGTTCCCACATTTTACTCTTCAAATGTCCTGTTTCAAAATACTTTATCGGATTATTTTTATATTTGTAGACTTAAAAATGGCTCATCAAATATGTTACCAGGAGAAGGTTTACCATTATCTTCAAAACCTTGAGCCTGGAAATAAAGAGGAGGCTGATCCATATATATTTACAGAAACAAATGACGAATTATATTCTAGAATAGATACTGATAATGTTCCTATCCATGGAATACAATCGAGTTTTTCTACATATAATTCAATGCCAAATTTCCATAATTATGCTGAACCTATAACTGAATCAAAAAATATAGGAAGCAATTTTTCAACAAATGGTGATGTAACTGATATGCGAATAGATAACACATTGACTCAAACTTGTATTCCAATATCAAATCAAGAAAACCCTAATTTACAAGACGAATCAATTGAGCATCATAATTCCGTTCAATTACCTTTAGCTACAGTTTATACTGATAACAAGAAAATCCATGTATTGGACTATAAAATATTTCCAGCAGAAACACTCTCCAAACTTGCCGATAATTCAAATTGCGCTTTAAACACGAATCCTGTCAATACTGAAAAATTTGAATACAAAACTGTTGAAATGGAAGTAGAAAGTGATAAAATATATAATTCAAGTTTGCCAAAGCCTGGTACGTTTCGGGAAGATCCATTTGAATGTTCAGATGACCACTCCTCTGATGTTGATTATATCCCCTCATCAAATGAAACTGATTCTCCAAGCAATGCAGATAGTCAAGAATTCATATGTGCTAGTGTCAAGGTACCTAAATACTTGCGGAAAGTTCATAAATTTTAAGTTTAAAAAAGGTACCTATGGTTCTCAAGTGTAGACTGCATTAACTTGAGCTCGAGTTTTTGGCGGACAATATTTTATCTTGTAATATAAAGATTCTTGATGATGCACTGTACAGGGTGATTTACTACATATATTTTGTTTCAAGAGTTATAAAAAAAAATGTAAAATACAAAAGTTGCACGATTTTCTATGAATTTTTCGAAAATGATATTTGAAAAACAAATGAGGTCCAAACAAAATGACCGCAGGTGTTAACTTTGTTAATTTAAATGGTACACCCTTTATATTTTTACATATTTGGACAGAAAGCTTAGTCATATAGGGTTTGTTGGGTCCATCTCTAACAATAAGCGAGATACTCTTAAAAAAAGAAAACAATATTTTTTATTAAGAAAATAAGATATCCTGTAATTGTTAGAATTCTTTCAGGCACTTCTGCTTTTTTTCAATTCCGTAAGGATTAATAGTTGTATATGTATATTTTTACATACACCGTGTCCACCTAGTGCGCGTAAGTTCAATATCTAGGTTAATAAAAGATATAACTTAATTTTTTTTTCTACAGAGTTGCCTACTTTCCCGAGCTGCACAAAATGAAAATATATTTGCATAAACAGGGTGTTCAGTTTTTCCTGGGCAGGTACCAAGTTATTTTTTTTAATGGAAATGTATATATTTTTTATGGCATTATCGAATTCTACGTGAAAAATTAACGCGACTTTGTGTTATGATCACTATTAAAATATTGATAGTTTTCGAGATAATCGACTTTTTATTTTTAATTTTTTTTTCTTGTTTCGTCACTTCTAGTATAGTTGACGTAATTATGATGGTATGACAGCTAGGAATTTTTTTTTTTCAGGAACTGCAGAGTGAAGATAGCTCTTTCAAAAAACATGTGAAAAGTTGAACTGCGATATACAGGGGGCAAAAAAAATCGTGCCGAACCTGATAATTTAAAATTTGAAAAATATCGACTTTTTCAAATAGAACACCCTGTGTTTTATGATTTCATTAGATGCCTTTCTGAAGACCCTACAATTTTTTAATAGCTTTCCCTATACCTAAGTTGCGCCCGTTTCAGAGAATCAAAAAACTACGCAACTTAGGTATCGAGAAAGCTATTAAAAAATTGTTGACTAATAATAATAATAATAATAAAATAATAGTAAACATAAGAAAAAAAAATGAAAAGTCAATTATCTCGAAAACTATCAATACTTTAATAGGGATCATAACACAAAGACCCGTTAATTTTTCACATAGAATTCGATAATACCATAAAAAAATTTAGGTTTCCATTAAAAAAAATTAAGTTGGTACCTGCCCAGGAAAAACTGAACACCCTGCATATGCAAATATATTTTCATTTTGTGCAGCTTGGGAAAGTAGGCAACTCTGTAGAAAAAAAAATTAAGTTATATCTTTTGTTAACCTAGATATTGGACTTACGTGCACTAGGTGGACACGGTGTATAGGACATTGATATGGTTCAAAATGCGTATAGGTATTCTACCTAAATCTAACTAATTAGTCCGTGTGAGGCCTAATTACTCATGGACAATGTTATATGGTAGGACGTGACAGTGATAGGTGATAGGATGATGACATTGTTATTGATTGACAGTTTGTATTATTATTTAATTAAAATTGATTACACAGAAGTAGAAAACTGAAATATTATAGGAATTAAAATAGAGTAAAAGATATTCCCCATACTCTAATTTAATTCCTAATAATATTTTAGTTTTCTACTTCTGTGTAATCCATTTTAATTAAATAATAATACAAACTATCAAACAATAACAATGTTGTCATGACATTACCTGTCACTGTCACGGCCTACCATATAACATTGTTCATGAGTAATAAGGCATCTCACGGCCTAATTAGTAAGAATTAGTTAGAATACATATACGCATTTTGGACCATATCAATTTCGGATGGATATGTCAAGATATATTAGAACTAAATCTGTAAATCCTTACGTAATTGGAAAAAGGTAGAAATGCCTGAAAGGTCTAATAATTACAAGATATCTTATTTTCTTAGTAAAAAACTTTCTTTTCTTTTTTTAATAGTATTTCGCTTATTGTTAGAGATGGACCCAACAAACCCTATATGACTATGCCTCGACAGGGAACGTTTTATCCAAATATGTGAAAATATACAGGGTGTTCCATTTAAATGAACAAAGTTAACATTCGCTGACATTTTGTTTGGACTTCATTTGTTTTTCTACTATCATTTTCGAAAAACTCATAAAAAATAGTGCAATTTTTGTATTTCACATTTGTTTACAACTCTAAAAACAAAAAAGTTAATGGGTGGGGCAAAATATAGTGAATCACCCTGAACAAGTCCTGGTAAAAAGTTAAGCCTAAAATTATGAATTACTGTCTACAATTAAAAAACAACCAAAATTATTTGTTATTTTACGGTGTTACAAAATATATTGTGTATTTTAGAACTGTACATCAACAGAGCACGAGAAATTGCCTGATAATGAACATTTATTAACCAATTTGGCTTCAGGACAAGATATCAGTAGTACAATTGGTTTTAAGAACAAACTTAAAAAAGACCTTTGCCCTCTTTGTTTTGAAGAAGTTGACCATTTTGCAAGACACCTCATTAGCAAGCATTCTGACGATGAAGCAATTAAAAAAATTTCGGAAATGCCTCTTAAGAGCAAAGAAAGAAGAACTGCAATTATGTCTTTGAGAAAAAAGGGTAATTTTGTGTTACATGAGCAGAAAGATGAACTCAAAGTCGTGCGATTACTGAACAAATGCTATAATAAGCAACCAGAGGATGGTGATTATTTTCCTTGTGTGAACTGTCTTGGATTTTATAAAAAAAGTTACCTTTGGAGACACAAAAAAATTTGTAAGTCAAAAATAGGAAATGGAACGTCGCATTCTAAAAACCACTTAACAGAATCTCAAACATTTTTGGCCACAACAGGTATACTAGGAAATGTTTTAAATACAGGCCGTATCAAAAATGAAGTATTTACAATTATGAGACCAGATAATATCAGCTATACTGCTAAAACTGACTCTTTGATTTGTTTGTTTGGGGAATCTTATATCAATAAACATAAGAGGAAACAAATGAACATAGTCGTGTCCAATAAAATGCGAGAACTGGCTAGATTAAAAATAGCAATAGGAAATTCTTCCACTATTCAGCACTTAATTGACGTCCTAAAACCAGAATGTTACGAACTTATTGTGGCTGCAACTAAATTGATAAGTGGTTATAATGTTGAAAAAAGAACATACAATGCATCCTCCTTAGCCATGCACATGGGAACAACTTTAAAATTTTTATGTGATGTTGCTACAAAAGCAATCTTGACAAAAAATCCCTTATTTCAGCACATTGATAGAGAAAAGAAAATTAGGGAAATTAAGGACATACGCCACATGGTAAACATGCACTGGTGTAATGATGTTTCCAGTTTGGCGAACAAGGTTTTAAATGAAGTACAGATTTCCAAACCTAAATTATTGCCATTTACGGAAGATATCAAAACACTGAACCTTTATGTTCGAACTTCTGCAGAAAAGGCTTATAATAATCTGAGAGACAAAATTGACTTAAAGAGTAATTACAAGATTCTTAGTGAATGCACACTGATTTTAGTTCTCATTTTCAATCGTAAAAGGGTCGGAGAAGTCCAATTTTTAAATATTGATACTTATCAAAACAATAATTTTCATCTAAATCAAAAAGAATGCTTAGATTCTCTCAGCGAGTTAGAAAAACACATGAGCTCTACTTTTAAAAGAGTAGTGGTATTCGGTAAAGGCAGTAAGCCGGTGCCCATTTTATTCACCAAACTTATGCAAAGATATATTGAAATGTTATTAACAATTCGAAATAATACCGAGGTAGTTCCGAAGTCGAATACTTACATATTTGCAAATCCGGATTCACAAGACAGATGGATGACTGGATCATCTGTTTTAAGAAAATATGCACATAAATGTGGCGCACGGAACCCGGAACTTCTTACAAGCACGAGATTCAGGAAACAGTTAGCTACCATCCTCCAACTTATGAACTTCGAAAATGACGAGATGGAACAAATAGCACGATTTATGGGCCACACTGAGAAAACCCACAAGGAATTTTATAGGTAATAAAATGTTTTTTTTTTCTAAAACTAGGTTTGTCAATCATCTAAATATTTTTGGAAGTAAAATTGACAATTAGCTCTAAAATTATACAATGCGAAAGAAGGCTTTTTGTAGAAGGTTTTTTAAACCTTTAAAACATTGGCGCTATACTAAAGCGGACCCTAAAGTTTTGAATTCAAGTTTGATTTAAATTAGTTTGTTGGCATCCTGTCCGCATTAGTAAGTAGGGTTGATGTTCTTATTATATCTAATAGTTTTTCAGTGAGTAAGAAAAATAAATATCATTCAATTTGCAGACTAACCGACGATGTTTATCAGACTGCTAAAGTGGCTAAAGTATTGTTGCTTTTAAATGTTGGAAAAGGTTCAGAATTCAAAGGTAAAAGTCTGGAAGAAATCGAAGTAGCAAATGACGTATTAGAATGTGACGAAGAAAAAACAACAAAAGATGAAGAAACTGGCAATATTGAAGAACAGAATGAAGAGAAAGAAGAACCACAAATACAAGTACCACAAGTACAAGTACCACAAGTACAAGCACCACAAGTACAAGCACCACAAGTACAAGCACCACAAGTACAAGTACCACAACAAGTACTACAACAAGTACAAAAACCTGGCCGTGTGCGCTGGGATGATGGGGAGAAACAAATGGTCTTAAAGCATTTCAAAAAACATATAAAATCAAAAACTGCTCCCAGAAAACAAGATTGTTTGAATTTTATTGATAACCACTCAGATAAATTTTTTGTATCCGATTGGGTACGTATTAAAACTCTTGTATTTAATACATATCGTGATAAATAAAAACTATTAAAAAATCGTATACTAATTTGTGGAAGTCATGTAGCTTAAACGGTGACTTATTGTTTAGGTATCACTTGGGCTTTATTTAGTTTTTATATAACCGTATACTTCCTTATTTTTTAACTAGATAGTCTAGGATAATTAGATATATATATCTACATATAATTTTTGTAGGTAATTTAGAAAAGAGGAATGTATGGTTACATGTCTTGCAATTTAGTTTACAAAGTCTTCCTTTAAGCTACTTCATTCGACATCCTGTGTATGAAATCCTTTATTTCCACATTTGCAATAATTTAGTTACTTAGAATATTTTCTTTTGTGTTATTATTTTATAGTCTAAATATGTTATATATATTTAAGATTATCGTTAATGTAGAGGCTAGAGGAATGTAGAGTTAACAGTTGTTAATAATTATAAACAGGGTGTTTGGTTCGCAGATGTAGAAAGTAACAAAAAACAATTCTTTGGTAAAAATAATTCGATTTAACTAAACTTACCTTCGCCCGAAGTTGAAATTAAAAAAGATACAGTGTTAAAGTCAAATTTTTAAAAGTTTTTCTGTAACGTCTATTCGATAAAACAAGGCAATAGAAAATTTTTAAAAAATTTGAAACTTTAACACCCAGTATCATAATTAACATCAAATTTTGGATTAAGATAAATTTAGCTAAATTGCGTTATTTTTACGAAAGAATTATTGTTATTTTCTACATCTGCAGACTAACACCCTGTGTATAACATGTTACCTATTTATACACAATTATTTTTAAGTTAGTTTAATTTACTACTATATGTTTACCTTATACTCTAAATATATCTGAAATAAAGAAATATGCAAATTTTATTTAATAGACTTACCTGATTTTATTTCTATGCTAGTGTCAGTACTAAGTATGATTTGACTGTAATTGTACACTTATATCACTATTCATTTTTTTAGATGACAGTTACTATTGATTATTATTAAAATAATATATTTCCACCTGTTTATGCCTCTATAACAATTGTGTACTTACCTTTGTAAAATTTAAATATGTATTAATGAATATGTATTATCTAAAATTACAGTGTGTTCCACCATCCAATAAAATCTGCTTTCATAGGTACAGATATTTTATGTTTTAGAAATTTTTAACGTCGATACTCTCAGCGCTAGGTCAATTTGGTCTCGCATTAATGTTACTAGAAGTTAACAACTACTGTCAATTTATACAAATGAAACAAATTAAAATCGAATTAGTATCCCTGTATAAAACATAGAATTATTACTTCGCGACTTTTATAATGGACGTTCCAGATCGAAGTTACCAAGTCACTATTTACAATGCCCTTACTGTTGTTTGAAATATATTTGCGGTGTATTATTTATTTTTAATTATTTTGGGACTATAGGTACTACCAACTTCTACAAATGAATAGATAAAACTAAAAAGCCACCGACAAATTTCAAGAAGTCAATTTATTTATTAAATTTGAAAAATACAGGAATGCAGTGTTTTTTCTTTTGAGCAAACTATGACAGTTCTTCTAAAGCTACACAAATTTTTCACAATTTCATCGACTCTTCGTGTTTACTGTTAATTAAAAATGGATTACTTCAGTTTTTGTTTTTGGGAGACAAATTTGGGAATCAAACTTGACTATCTTAATCATGTGCCTGTTTTAGAGATACTGCATTTGGCGAACTTATCAGACTTTGTAAATAGTATCAATAATAATTTCAATTCAAGTATTTTGTAATTTTTTCCATAAAGACACAATTTTAAAATTTTATTTTTAAAAAATTATTACAAGAGTGTTCCACTTTTAAATATATCACCTGTCAAGTTTGGTCTGGCAAAGTATGTGCAATATATTAAAATTGGTCTGTATATCTGGTCGTAGTTCAAAATGGCTACAGGAATAAAATTTAAAAGCCGCGCCAAATTCAAAAACCGCACAAAATGTTTTAACTGCAGATAGAAATAATGAAGCAAGTACCAAATATTTATTTACAATTCCGAATCCACATTCAGCGTGGTTGCCAAATCTCTGGTCTGACAGAGTTGGTTTCATATCACTCCATGAACTATATAAATCTGATGCCGCATGAGCGCTACCTAGCCATTGAACGTCTGAACTAAATCCATATAAAAATACCAGTTCGACCGACTTTTCACGCCACCACCAAATTTTCTATGGGGTGTCCTACCACCCCTGTGAACATTAATGCACGGTTTAACGTTACCAGACCATTTGCCTGGTCTAGTAACGTCGATTTTGGTCTGGTTGCGTATGTGGCATATATCAATACTGGTCTGTATCAGCGGCGTAACAAATCTATATATATATATATATATACCTTTGTCCGGAAATGCTTCGTTTCTGAGATACACGGTGTTGAAATTAAAATTTTATTTTTCGCATAAAATTTGGCAACCGGAGGTTTTTTGAGGAGAGAAATCATAATTTGGTATTATTAATTTTCGTGCAGTACTTAGAGCATTGTTAATTTGCCATAAGTTTTTTGACAGAAGACTTCTGCAATTTTTTGTGAATAAACCATATCTCTACACCTTTTTAAGCAAAAATGCACACTTCCTTAACAACGCTAGAAGCCACAGTATTCGAGAAATTTGCAAATTTCTGCAAAGATGCAATTTGCTGAGTCCCTTAGGCGTTAAATGAAGTAGTTGAGAAATATATTTATTATTAATTTATTTTATTTTTCTGGTATTTTCCAACGGGTACGGGATTCTTTGGTGTGCAGGGCAGAAGCTTGTATTAATGTCGGAGGTAGCCACTTTCAGCAGCTGTTGTAATGATGATTTTGTTTAATTTCCACACCCTGTATTTCAGAAACGAAGCAATTCCGAACACAGGTTTATATAAACTTTTTTTCTTACAATTAACACAGAAATACCCCACTTAAATATTTTAACGTATACTTAGGTTACACTATAATATACTTAATAGTATTATATACTTAATATACTATATCAATAACATTTGAAAATATCGAAAATAGATCTATTTAGGACAATAATTAGCAGTTATTAATTTTTTATGAAAAATACCTACTAAACTGGTACGTTTTATTTATGTGATAGTCATCCCACCTGAAAAAATCTTAGTACTATCTCAATTTTGGATAGAAAACGTTACTCTNAGAGTAAAATTTTTCAATTAAAGCCTCCGTTTTCCGGTAAATAGCGTGGGAACTAAAAAAATGTTGAATTTCAGTAAGATTTTCGACGTGTTCGAACCGAGATATTCAAGTTTAAAAATTTATTCTGCCATAAGACTCAACGTTAAGAGCAACTTTCAAAAATTGATAAAAAATATATGCTGTACAAAATATAAGTTGATTTTTATATAGAATTATAGCCAATATACTGTATTATCCGCCCGTGGTGATAACTCGTTTTTTGATTTTACTGCCCTTCTGCCCGCGTTATTTTTTTATTACCTTCGGATTCTGATTCAGTAAGATATAAGCTTCAATTTTATGCATAATTCAGCTTGTAACCCCGCGACGCCCACATAATTGATTTTTAAGCATATTTAACGCTGCCGGGCACTCTACTAATTACAGTAAGAGCTCGATCTATTTTCTACTTCCACTTACTGCACTTTGCACTGATTGCATCTTGCGTCAGCCATTTGCAATTTGACTGTTGGTTGGTGAAGTTGCATCGTGTTGTTTTGTGTTTTGTAAATCTCAGTTATTTAAAAGTAGCCTGCAATGGAGGAAATAGATTGACTGTCCCTGTAACTGACGTTATGTCAAAGGTATGTCCCTTTTTGTGCAAAAATTCGTACAGAAATTAATAAAATATATTTGTTCTTGACGCTGTCGTCACAGTACAGTTCCATATGTGTAGTATTTTTATTATTGACTGCAGTACAATATTTAAAATTATTGAAATGCAATTAGAATATGTATTTTAAAATTATGCGAGATGATTTTTGTCTGAATTTTTTTTTTAATAATTCTTCAGAAGATTCAAGGGAATTTTTATTTTTTTTTAATTTTTATATTGTTTCTATTTATAACATTTAATAGCTATTTATGATATAAGTGTTAAAAGTAAGATTTTATTTTGTGAGTGAAGATGATTAAAAAACGAGCGTAGCGAGTTTTTTAACTTCACGAACAAAATAAAATCACTTTTAACACGTATATCATACACTATTTTTTCTACAAAACAATCGGAAGAACTTTAAACTCAATAAAAATAAGAAATCAAAAAATACCACACAGATCGCAGTGTTTATGAACCAAAATTTTCGTAGCAACCAGTGCTGTTTGATCTACTTTTAACATGCGTGTCAAAAATTACATTTTTAACATCAAAAATGACAATTAAAAAGCCCACTTTTAACAGTTTTGTAGAAAAAAGAGTTTTTATGTAAATATACAAAGTATGGGAAACTATGAGGCACAAATTGTGTGATTCTACTTATAAAAATTATGGTAAAATTCCTATGGTGAGTTGGCAGTTTCTACTGCGTACATTTAGTACCTATGTCCGATAAATAAAGCGTAGTTAGCAGTTTCTACTGCCTACGTTGTACAGTCTGATAAAAGAGTAGACGCGTTAAGAGATAAGTTATCTTAATACAGTTTTTTTTTACTTCCTTTAAACAGGGTGTACACAAAACCGGAAATCCTGGAATTATCGAGAAATATCAGCATCGGTCGCTAAATGGCGACAAAAAATATTTAAAATACTGTCCGCAATTGATTATTTTATTGAAAAATTCTGTATTTGTTATATCTCGGACTGTGCTAATAGACCAAGCAAATTAAATTTTTACTCGAAAAAAGTCCTATCCGCTAGATTATTGTAAAATTATCCAAAAAAACATAATACAAGACATCTCTCGTCTCGTGAGTCAAAAACTTTTATTAGCTAACTTTTCTATTTAAACAAATAAGTGAGGAAAACAGTTTTTTCACTTTGCAGGGAAAACCATCAATTTTAGCGAAAAGTGACTCACAGACAGCTTATAGGGAGTAAAATTATCTACAAAATGAGACTGGTTAAATTAAAATCGGTTAATAAACAAAAAAGTTATTGCAAAAAAACAAGAAAAGTGCCCATTTTTTAATTTGTTTATAACTATCGCATTTATTGTTAAAATTTTATAAAACCTATGACAAGTTGAGGGTTTTGTCATACTTTAAAAGTGTGCCAAAAGTGGGCGCTGTAGGTGCAATAGTTTTCGCACAATTCTATTTGTTTATAGCGGAGGCTCCAAAAGTTATGAACTTTAAGCCTCTGTACAGGCGTTAATTTTCAATCAAACATGATTCTGAAAGCGTCATTGTAATCTTAAAGACGCAATTAAGCGACCTATTAAAAAATATCACCGTTTTTTTGACATTAACATTCTCAAATTGTGCATTAAAAAACCGTGCGTTTTTCGCTTATAAACAATTTGAATAACATTGTTGCTATTTATGCTATCTCACCGAAAATAGATGCAATGGATAGCTGGCAAAAAAATACAGTTTTAAAATAAAAAAAGTACCCTCTACGACCAACAGGAGCCAAGATAAGAATTTTTTTTTAAAACGTAGCGCAATTGTTTATAAATATTAAGACTTGAATTTTTCGCAAAATAAAGTTTACGACGTAAACTACGATTTCCCGTGAATTGCATTGAAAAATGTGGAAAATTAACGACTCACGAGCCCTTTAAAGAGAAGGTACTCGCTAAGTAAACTGTCCGGCGGCCGGCGGCGTGGTGGTGGGGGAAGCTCGTCCAAGCGGTCGCGCGCGCGAGAAAAGTTAAATCCAAAGTTCAAATAAGTGCGCGCTGTAAATTTTGCAATATCTCGGCTTCTATTCATCGTAGAAACTTATTTTTTTTTAAATGGGTTAGCTCGACGAAAAAATAACAATGGGCATATTTACGAATTCGTAGAATAGCCCTGAACCCCAGAAAAAATGCATCTTTTATACTTAATTTTTTTTAATTTACAAAAATGTCACAAAAATTATTGTTAAACGAAATATTAATTAAAATTTCAATTTCGGAATTATTTTACTATTATTAAATAAATAAATGAAGCTATCGTTCATTTAAAAAGTTATTTTTTTTACATATTAAGGCAAAGTAAACTTGTTTTTTCAATATTTTGTTAGCTATTTAATTACGATTTAAATGTAAAATTAAAGTAAAAATTCACAAATTATTTTCAAATTATTATTTATTGTTAAAAGATTTAAAAAAGAATAAAAAGCATTTGAATTTATTGCAAAATTCTCAAAATTAAAAAATATTAAAAATAACGCGGTCGATAAAATTACAATTTTAACTTCCTGAAATTTTAATATATAAAGTTTTTTTATTATATTTATTACTAATTTTATAAACATAATCAAAATTAATTCAAAAAATATTAATCACAACCATTTTCAATAATAGATATAAATAATGCAATATAATACAATTTAAAATTTAAAATTTTTTCTATTTTTATGAGAAATAATAATTTGAAAATAATTTATGAATTTTTACTTTAATTTTACATTTAAATCGTAATTAAATAGCTAACAAAATATTGAAAAAACAAGTTTACTTTGCCTTAATATGTAAAAGAAATAACTTTTTAAATGAACGATAGCTTCATTTATTTATTTAATAATAGTAAAATAATTCCGAAATTGAAATTTTAATTAATATTTCGTTTAACAATAATTTTTGTGACATTTTTGTAAATTAAAAAAAATTAATTATAAAAGATGCATTTTTTCTGGGGTTCAGGGCTATTCTACGAATTCGTAAATATGCCCATTGTTATTTTTTCGTCGAGCTACCCCAGTTTAAAAAAAAAAAAAGTTTCTACGATGAATAGAAGCCGAGATATTGCAAAATTTACAGCGCGCACTTCCCCCACCACCACGCCGCCGGCCGCCGGACAGTTTACTTAGCGAGTACCTTCTCTTTAAAGGGCTCGTGAGTCGTTAATTTTCCACATTTTTCAATGCAATTCACGGGAAATCGTAGTTTACGTCGTAAACTTTATTTTGCGAAAAATTCAAGTCTTAATATTTATAAACAATTGCGCTACGATTTTTTAAAAAAAGATTCTTATCTTGGCTCCTGTTGGTCGTAGAGGGCACTTTTTTTATTTTAAAACTGTATTTTTTTTCCAGCTATCCATTGCACCTATTTTCGGTGAGATAGCATAAATAGCAACAATGTTATTCAAATTGTTTATAAGCGAAAAACGCACGGTTTTTTAATGCACAATTTGAGAATGTTAATGTCAAAAAAACGGTGATATTTTTTAATAGGTCGCTTAATTGCGTCTTTAAGATTACAATGACGCTTTCAGAATCATGTTTGGTTGAAAATTAACGCCTGTACAGAGGCTTAAAGTTCATAACTTTTGGAGCCTCCGTTATAAACAAATAGAATTGTGCGAAAACTATTGCACCTACAGCGCCCACTTTTGGCACACTTTTAAAGTATGACAAAACCCTCAACTTGTCATAGGTTTTATAAAATTTTAACAATAAATGCGATAGTTATAAACAAATTAAAAAATGGGCACTTTTCTTGTTTTTTTGCAATAACTTTTTTGTTTATTAACCGATTTTAATTTAACAAGTCTCATTTTGTAGATAATTTTACTCCCTATAAGCTGTCTGAGAGTCACTTTTCGCTAAAATTGATGGTTTTCCCTGCAAAGTGAAAAAACTGTTTTCCTCACTTATTTGTTTAAATAGAAAAGTTAGCTAATAAAAGTTTTTGACTCACGAGACGAGAGATGTCTTGTATTATGTTCCTTTAGACAATTTTACAATAATCTAGCGGATAGGACTTTTTTCGAGTTTCTCTTTTATTTTCGCTAATTTTCCTGGTGTATAAGTACTTTTTTCACCTAATTAGTATCTATCCGCTTCTGGTTAATTTAGAAATATATTTTTATGGACATATGAACATTTTTTTTTAGAAAACTTAAAAATTTATATCAACAATATAGTCAGTTCTTGATTTTTTAAAGTTTTTTTTATGAGTGATTTTATCAACTGTATTAAGTAACAGTATTAATAATTTGTGAAAAGTAATAATATTTGCTGATTTTGTATATTAATTTACGCTATTAGAAATTACCTAAAATTCCACTTATCTTGGTAAAACGTATATTTTTTTAATTGTAAGTGATTCAAAATAATAATGTAATTTTCCCCTAAACAAAAAATATTGGTATTCAGACAATTAAAAATTATTAGAATTTTTTTCTCTATAATCTTAAACAAGATTGTTTTCTATTATAATTTTGTTAAATAATGATCATACATTATTAAATATTTACGTGAGAGAAATGGAGGAAAAATTTGGGAAATAGTTTTGGAGTTCATATCACCGAAACCAGGAAATTTTTTAAAAACCAAAAAGTACGTAAATAGAATAAAGAAAAGCATTGTATAGAAAAAAAGAGTACATTAATTTTCGTCTAAAGTGCGGTTTCATCAAGACAGCGTAGGTCCGTTTCTTATCTAATGCTCACAATCTATAATAAAAATGAAAATTAATTAAAAACTTACTTTCAGTAATGTTATCATCAGTAAGTTTTCCCAGCATTAATTTAGTTGCTTTATTTTAGACGTGTCTTTCTGGTTTTAGAAAAGAAAGAATTTTCCTGATATTTTCATCCCAATTCTGAGTTACCAATTCTTACAAATCTTTACCTCCAAATACAACCCTATACCCCTAATATACCCCTAAAAATTCATAAAAAAAAATTATATTTAACTTCGAAAAATTTTTTG